TTTCTTGTTCTTCTTTCCTCCGTTTATTAGTCCTCGCCATTATTCTTTGTCTCCTCATCTTATCTTCTCCTTCTTCTTCGTCTTCTTCTTCTCCCTTTGTGTCTTCTTCATCTGCGTCTTCTTGTTTTGCGTCTTCTTCCTTCTTCGTTTTCGTTATGTTTGATTTACTTATTTGACTGAAAGTCATATTCCTTTATTATATAATATTGATTTTTGTTTTTATTTTTATATTTTTGTTATTAATAATATATTCATTATTGTTATTATTATTGTTATTCTTAGATTATTATTGTTATTATTATTATCATTATTATTTTTTTAATTATTATTTTTATATTATTTCAGTTATTATTTTTTCTTTTATTATATTTATATTATTATATACTATTATCATTATTGTTATTATTATTACCATTATTATTATTGTTGTTGTTATCATCAGCATTATTCTTATTATTATTACTGTTATTATCAGTATTATTATTGGTATTATGATTTGTATGATTTTATTTTACTGGTATTGTTATTATTATTGTTGGTGTTTTTTTCTGCCTTGTTTCGTTTCCCTTTTTTGTGATATAATAATTGTCACGTGTTATGATTATTACTTTTTTACGTTTCATTCATTATGCTCGTTTCTAACTTCTTTGGCTTTTTTATGGTTTCTTTTTTCTTTGTCTTGAGTCATTTCACTTTTCATTTTATTCTCTCTCTCTTCTGCTCTGTCTATCTCTCTCTCTCCCTTTCCCTCTCTGTCTGTCTGTCTGTCTCTCTCTCTCTCTCTCTCTCTCTCTCTTCTCTCTCTCTCTCTCTCTCTCTCTCTCTCTCTCTCTCTCTCTCTCTCTCTCTCTCTCTCTCACACACACACACACACACACAACACACACACACACACACACACACACACACACACACACACACACACACACCACACACACACACACACACACACACACACGAGCGCGTGCACACAAAACCTACTTTCTGTCATCATTTCCTCTTTATCCCACCCAAGCAACCACACCCACATCCATTCTCGCAAACTCACTCTCAGCATAAACACTCGGGGAAATATTGATTAAACCTATTTCCTTTACGTTATATATATATATATATTAATATATATATATATATATATATATATATATATGTATGTATATATTATGTATGTATATATATTTTTGGGGGGTCGGTTTCTTGTTCCGGGCGTCGTCGTGACACAGGGACTCCTCGTAGCGATCGAGTACTCAATCAAATGACAACAAAAATGACAACAACAAAATCTGCCCCAAGTGAATGGCGAGAGACCCTGACACAACCTCTGCATGTTTCCTTTAGTGTATCCCGGCCTCCCTTGCTTTGCCCCACCCCTACCCCCTCCTCCATTCCGCCCTCCTCCGCCCTCCCCCCTCCGCCCCAGGCCTTTCAAGATCGCATGTACCCCCCCCCCCCTTCGCCCCGCCCCCACCAGGTGACTGCTGCAGGAGAGCGTAGGAGAGTCGAGCACGTGTTGCATGAGCGGCGTGTGATGAGTGAGCGGGTGAGTAGGACCGCTGGGTGAGGGGGGAGGGGAGGGGCAGGGAGAGCCGAGGCCACCTGGACGGCCAAGGGACAAGCCGTCTCGGGGCCGGACCAAGAGGCGTCGCCGCCGGGGTCGCCGCCGTAGGGCTGGCGCAGGGCGTCTCGCGGGCAGGGAGGGTCGGCAGGGTCGAGGAGGGGCTCACACTCGGCTATCTCCCTCACTGGTCACGCCCGCTGAATGTCCACAGCTCGACAGGACACGCTTATCGTACCCCCGACAGCGATGCAATTTTATTTCAATTTCTTACTTTATTTTATTTTTAGCTGTAGATTGGAGAGGCAGCGTGACAGTATGAGTGAGTATAATGTAGGGTGCGACCGGTGGAGGGTAGGCGACCACCACCGCGACGACACCCCCCTTGGGCCGCCCTCAGTAACGCGCCTTTTGCAGCTTGCAGAAGCAAGTGTCGATCATGAGCCTGAACCTGAACGCCAAGATCGATGAGATCCAGTGTCACCAGCACGCCGACACCAGCGCCGCCCTCCTCGCCATCAGGTGGGTCCGCTCGCACAGGGCGCGGCCGAGCTGCTTCCGCCAACGCCCTGGTCATCTCGCCATCACCCATTCCCCGTCATCACCCACCATTGCCCCATCAGAGCCACCCTCGGGCTCTCTCGCCGTCATCCCCAACACTGCCCCAGCCGGCACTCGCCATCACGTTCCTCATCAGAATTCGCTGCCATCGAGTAGATAGTTCATCAGTTTTAATCTAAGCAGTCTAATCTCGAATCTCTCTTACTTAACGATTAGTGACTGCGCATATGATCGCCAGGTATCCTGTTTTCCCTTGCAAGGATACGGTCACGTAGATGCAAATGTGTTGGATCCTTTTCCCTTTTGGCAATCTCTCTCCTGTCAGCCTCAGCAAGGACAGCCACTTTATTGGACACACCTATGATTACGGAACGAGGGAGAGAG